ATCCTTCTTTTCCCTTCCCCTTTTGAGTTATCTGAAATTTATCTAGAAAAGAAAAGAAAAAGAAAAAGAAAAAAGAGAAAAGAAAAAAGAAAAAAGAAAAAAGAAAAAAGGAAAAAGAAACCAATGAAGAGAGAAAATAACCATATGAATTCTAAAATTGTGTTCTGATGTTTTTGATCATCTTTTCCCCTGCTTATTTTTGTCTTCTACATATGCTCTCAAATTTTTAAATCTTCCTGTTTCTAAACAGTATTTTGCTAACAGTTTGAATCCTTGTGGTGAATCTAACATGTCTTTCGCTGATTTCGTGTTGATTTTCAATTTTTGTTTGTTGACTTCTAATGTTAATTTTGCTCGTTGTTTCTTGAACTTCTTGCAATTTCCTAAGTAATGACTAACTGTTTCTTTTTGTTTGCAAAATTCGCATTTATCTGATTTCTCTTTGTTTATTCTAAATAGATGTGCGTTTAATTGACAGTGTTCACTTCTCAATTGTTCAATTATTACTGCTTCCCCTCTCTCTAAACTTGATAATGCGCTACCAATTAACTTTGCTCTAGTTTGATATTTGAAGTTTTGAGGTTTTTCTTCTAAAATTTGATTTTCTTTTTTGATTTTTCTTAATTGCATTGATAAATTTTTTTGAGTGTGTGTGTTTGTTTCTTCTTCACTTTCAATTGTTGCTCGTTTCGCCATTTCGTCTACTTTATCATTTTCTTTTATTCCTACATGACTTGGTGTCCAGATCAAGTTTATTTCATTCCGTTCCTTCATTTTTCTTAGTACATTGAATATTCTATTCGTTATATGTTGTCCTGATGCTGCTATAGGTGGTTTTGAGATTGTTCTGAGTGCTGCTTGATTGTCTGAAAAAATTGCTATTTTATTAAATTCATTATTTTGATCATTCTTCTTGAGTATTTTCGTTGCTAATTCTAAACCTATAAGTTCAGCTTCGTATGTTGAATGGTCTTCTTTGTTACCAAGTCTTCTTATGATTGATTCGTTTTCTGATATAGCTGCTGCTCCTACGCCTTGATTTGGTATTGAGGAACCATCAGTGAAGATGATTTTGCTACCATGTGCTTTGTGATATTCTATTTGGTGTTTTATTTGTTCTACCGCTTTTTCTTTTGTTAAATCTAGATTTTGTATTTCGCCTAGCTCCTCCTCCCATGGTGCCGTCATAAAAGGATCTATGCATTCTAATTGTTGTAATTGGTTTACTTCGATCATGTCTTTCTTTAATATCTTCCTAATTGCGCTTTGATTTCTTTTCAATCCTCCTTTTTTCTTGAGTTCTTCCAAAATTATCTTGCGTATTGAGTTATTAATTGGTAATGTGACTCTTTTGGTTATCATGAATTGGTTTGATCTTATTATCTGTTGCATCAAGTCCGGGAAATTTGCATCGTGTCTAAGTAGTTGAAGTGGTGTACTTTTGAAACTTCCGAGTATTAATCTATGTGATATATTTTGGTATTTATTCATGATTTTCTTGACCTTCGCCTGATTTGTTTGATTTGCCCACACTATTGATCCAAATAGTAGCCTAGGTTTTAATGTCATCAATAATAAATGTTTGATTTCTTTGTACCCTATTCCCCAACTCCATTTACAAATTCTTTGTAGTTATGCAATTGTTTGATCTCCTTTTTTATTTAGCTCTGTGATATGGTCATGATATGTGAGTTTTGAATCAATTTTCAAACCTAGCCATCTCATTTTTGTTGTTGGGGTTATTTGAGCGTCCCCTAAATTAATTCGTTCTTCTGGTGTTGGTTTGATGTTGCTGAAGTGCATTACTTGTGCTTTCCGTAGATCAAAGATAGCTCCAAATTTCTTTCCCCATTCTAACGATCTTCTTCCTTCTTCCTCGATTTTCTCCGTGTTTTCGTCCCATTTGTTCGAAGCTACTAGGTGAGTCACATCATCAATAAAGCCAATCGAGATTCTATCTTGATCCAATGATATTTGATTTGAAGTGAAGAGATCCGAGTTATATATGAGATAAAGTATTACTGAGAGTGGTGAACCTTGAGGTATTCCGTCCGGTATCAAGTAATTATCTGATGTGTAATCTTCTAGTCGTAGTGTAGTTTGTCTATTTTCTAAAAAGTTCTCTATGATTTTGATCAAATACTCTGGACATTGTTTCTTGCTGAGTTCATGAATTAATCTTTGTTTTCTTACTGACGGATAAGCTGATTGTACATCCAAGAAAAGACCTGTTACCACCTTCCCCTTTTCCCATTTATTCTTTATCCATGTGTCTAGTAATATAAAAGCATCGTCTATTGATCTTCCCCTTCTTCCCCCCATATGTCCATCCGGAAGTGCATCCTGGGTTTCGGCCCAAAAAGTTAATCGTTATGTTAATAATACTTCTAAGATTTTTCCCAAACAGCTCAGTAATGCTATGGGTCGATAAGCTTTTGGTTGTGAGTAATCTGGTTTATCGTTCTTTTTCAATATTATTGTGATTGTCTTCTTCCATACATCTGGGAAGTATCTAAGTCTTAAACAGCTTTGATATATGTGTAATAACGGGTTTATAATATCATTCATTGTTAATTTTATTAATTCATTGCTTATTCTGTCATGTCCTACTGCTTTTCTACTTGGTAATTTTTGTATAATATTTTTAATTTCATACATTGATATTGGTTCAAAATCCTCTTCAATCATATTTATAGGTTGTATATCTCGATTTTCCCACTCAATATCATTGACTTCCATGGTTTTCATAAGTATTTCCGCTTGTTCTCTTTTTTGTGATGTTGTTTTTCCATTGGCTGTTATCAGTGGCTCTACTCTATTTGAACTTCTTGTCTTTGTGTAGTTGTAAGCTGTAAAGGTTTGTGTACTTGTGCATTTTCCCAGAAAGCTTCTCCAGTGATTTCGTTTGAGTTCCTCAACTTTTTCTCTAAATTTTGATTGCCAGTACCAATAACTTTTCTCTGTATTTGCTGATCTGTTATATAACATCCATTTCCTTGCTATATTTCTGTTCTTAAGTAATGGTTCTAGGATTTCTTTGTTCCACCAAGGTTTTGGTTGCGCTCTTGATATCTTAATCTTTTTCCCTTGTTCTTCGAATGCGTCTTGCATTGATTTTGTTAGCGTGATGATGTTATCTTCTATCTTCTCTGTCGTAGTGCATTCAAAACTATGGTTTGCTATTTTGATTTTAACTGAATCTACAAATTTAATCTTGTCTAAAGTTTTTACGTTTGTCTTGATGATTGTTTCTTCTAATTGCTTTATTTTGTGACCTATTGTGCAAATTAAACTTTGATGATCTGATCCAAAAGCTAGTTCTGATACTTTGCAACTTAGATCTACCCTCTGTAGCATAAAATTTGCCCAGATTAAATCGATAGTTGTGGGATGTTTGCCTGTTGAGTAGTATGTAGGGATGCCCTTAGGAGAGATGATCTTAAAACTTTTCCTTCCACATAGTTTTATTAGTTGTGTCGATTTGGGGTGCGTGTGATGGTATCCAGGTGGGTTCCATTGTCGGTGGTGTAGATTAGCGTCCATTAGGAGTAATGTCGGTATTGACCTGTCGTATTCTTGATTCAGCCATCTTTCCAGGTCCTCCATTCCTTCGAAGAATCGTGGTCTGTTATAAAGCGAAATGATCTGTAGTGTGGTTAGCGTAGGATGATTCAGTTCAATTTTTATTATAGATAAAAATCTTGATTTAGTTAAGATAGGGATTATGTTTTCAGAGTTTATGTAGTTCCTGACGTATATGCAGGTTCTATGTTTCAATGCGTAATCATTAGTTTTATATTCTGTGTCAAAGAAACATTTCCAGTCTCTATGTTCGGGTGGTGTCATGGTTAGTGGGTTTATCCAGGGTTCAAATAAAACAAGAATGGTGAAATCAGAAAGAGTATTTAACAATTCCCAAGTTATTGATTTATTAGTGTTACAATTCAAACTAAAAACATTAAGCTCATTTTCTTCGATATTATTTGTTGACATTGTGTTTATGTTGTTGTTGTTATTTCTCATAATTTTTTATTCATATAAAATCTCCTGCTTTGTGGAGCCAAATCGTTTTTCATGGGGCAAATTGAGCTAAAAACTGAGTGTGCAAATTTTTCATCTGCCGAATTTGGCAGCTCTCCATCAGTGTTTTCTTTTGCTGCATTCCAGCACTTTGCACATCTTAAGTCTGTGTCTTCTATAGGACACGTTCTAGATTCATGACTTCCTCCACATTTGGAGCATAACGGTTCATTTGGGCAGAACCTTGCAGAGTGGTTCATTTCTAAGCATCTGTAACATTGCATAGGTGGGCGATTATATTTTGCCCCCGGTAAATACATACTTTGAAGGAACAAGCCTCCTTTTTCAACTTTCGCCGCTACCTCTTTGTCAAGTAAGTTTAAGATAATTGATCCATGTGCTTTTCCATCCTCTTTTGGTCTGCCTAGCCATTTGATTGATTGGACTTTTATCTCCTCGATGCCATTTTCTTTACATAATTCTGTTTTAAAAAAATTGTCAGTGGCTTCAAAATAAGTAGGGATTGAGTGTAAGATGACCGGGTATTTGGAAGGGGGGGTGACTAACAACGGATCCGCTCTATGGGTCCATTTGTGTTTGTTTTCAAATAACCACTTGGTCATAATCCTAGATTTAGCATAAATTCTCAGGTCACCCGACTGTAATCTTGTGACACCTTTGACCTGAATCAATTCTTCCTCTATTTTTGCATCGATTTCTTTTAGGGCTTTGTTGATGGCGATTGTAATCTGTGGGGGGTTCATATTTAAGAAGGGGTTTGTATTAGGGACCCGGCGTATGATCAAGGAACTTGGTTTATACTCATTTACGAGTCTTTTTGGGGGGGGTGGTCGAGCACTATTTTCATTCGTGGTCGTTTTCGTTTGACTCACTATGTTGCCTTTAGCAACTTGAGCCCACGATTTCACCTCTTGTTGTGTTTTTTGAGTTCTGAGTAGATTGTTTACTGTTTTTTGAATATCATTTAATTTTTGGGTTAACGTAGTTATAGTGTTTGCCGCTTTGTTTGCCGAAGCTTCATGAATCGAAGATTTGATAAGTGACGATATTAATTTGGTCTCGTTATCCGATAACGTGAGACTGCCGTTGACATCCTTTCTTTTCAGAAGGGTATTCCACAACGTTTCTAGACCCGGGTTAGGGCTGAGAGTCGGAGTGGTCTCTTCAACCATCGAACCTCTCATCGATTCCTCAAATTCCATTTCTTCCGCCCAATTTTGGCTTCGGGCCATCGATCCTTGCGTACCGGTGTCTTCTGAAGGGTTCAGCAAGTTATTGATGGAGAAAGGAGAAGGAGAGATAGGTGGCATAGCGAAAAAGGTGGTGATGGAGAAGGAAAAAGAAAATTTTTAGGATAATGCAATGGACGAATGATTCCGCAGTGACTGCGCTTGGTCATGTACTGAACCTTTAGGTAAGGCTAGGTATTCTAGGTGGAAGGACCTACTTGTGAACGTCTGCATCTCTACTTAGGGAGGACACACAAACTTAGTTAAAATCTAAGTTTCCATCATCTTGAACCTCACCCAACTTGCAAATCATCTGCATAGGGAATGGACTATCATTTGATGAATTTTCAATGATCTCATTGAAAGTACAAGTACAAAAACTATCTTGCCTATGTAAGATAAGTAGAACCATTTTGGGAATGCACTGAGGCAGTGGTGCTATAGATCAGACATCAGAGTAAATATAAATATGATCAAGATGGCTTCACTTAATCTTATTCGAAATTTCCATGAAGTCTATTCTACGATACTTTGGGATAAGGAATCGCATCTGACCACTCCTGACCACTCACATCAGCTCACATCCCTATCAACTTAACACCTGGGTAAAAAAAGATTGAATACACTGAAGAAAACTTTGGAGTTGGAGTGAAGAAGTTTCGTTTTCTCTACTGATTTTCTCACAAATCTCAATGTCATCATGGTCAATGACTAAAGATCTAAATCACATCTTGTTGATGTTGTTCGTGTTGTGAAGTCAAAAGACAAAAAAATGAGACAAAAAAGATTCATCATAAATCAGTCAAATAAATTTTCACAAGGACACTAACAAGCAAAAACAAACACGATACATGGAAAGAGTGAAGTTTTTGGTTTGAGTACTAATTTTACAAGTAGAGAAAGAGAGAGAGAGAACAAAGAACATTAATAATGATAGTAGAGTAGATCTCTTATTTGTTTGAGTAGGCCATACAAAATATTGAATTGATATACACATAAAATTAAGTACTAAAGTGATACAACAAAAAGAGAATTAGAAAAACGAAAAAAAGCAACCTTCGATCTTTGATCAAGTCTAGACATGATCACAAGTATCTTTGCTACAGAAGTCATACAGAAAAATTCAGACCAAGATTCAGACGGGCATTCTCCAATTGAAAAAGTAAGATTATTAAAAAAAGATAAGATGGTTTGCTCAGACAGACTAACCTAAAAGCAACCTAATCAAGACACAAATCTAGGGAAATAAGATGTACTCGTTTCGTAAGGCGAGTGAGCTCTTCCACAATCATGACCTACTAAAGGTGAACTAGGTAAACTTGCTCCAAATGATGATCCACTAGATAGTTTCATGTTAGATTCTATTAATCCGAGTACAGACAATGTCTTTTCTCGAATCGGATCTGATGACGTCTTGGTGAAAGAAGGCTTCTGTTGAACGATCTCGCCGCATGATTTGTATCGCTTGGTCTTTGGTCTGGCTGAAACAGTAAGATGGCCAGAGCTTGATAGAATAGGTGACTCGCCAAGACCTTGAGAGTGCGAAGCTTCCTTTTCGATTTTCACAATGGGGTTCGCAGGTTCTGCGATTTCTTCTTCTTCAAATACGCTACCGATAGAGAATCCTTCACTTGATGAGCCAAGCGAAGATGAAGTGGCGATCAACGGTGGAACGGCAGCAGTTTGTTTGAAACTGTTGGAGGTGGGCAATCCATGGGTACTGCTAGAGACCGACCGCCGAGCAAGATGACGATGTAAGGGTGAACATGAGGTGCGATTTACTGGTGATGGTTGACAAACAGCGGGGTTGGAAACGGTCTCGCCGTCCGTGTCGGGATTATTGTCCTCCTGCACAGCGGCAGTGCTTGCCATTGAAGCTCCATCGCTTCCAAAAATCGTGTTTCTTCCTGCCAATGGAGAACTTGCAAAAACTGCCGAAGGACTAGTGATAGTGAATGCAGGGTCTAGAGTAGTGCGTGCGGCCGATGATCCAAATGGAAATTCTCCCACCGGAGCGGATGGTTGACGAAGAGTTGCTTCGCTGGATTGGAGCGCCCAGGTTCGGATACTGTGGTATAGATTAGGACGAGTCGCAGTTTGGACTTCATTCTGTTGAACTATCGAAGGAGAACTGATGGCGGGGGACTGGAGGGATGGTTCGACGTTTCGATGTGATTCCCAATCGGAGAGAGCAGCATCGCGTAAACGTTGAGCCATTGACCAACCATTTTGGGCAGATGCCTCATCGTCATCCGAAGTCTCATCCTCAGGTTCTTCGTGATGAGGAAAGAGAACCGATGGTGAATAGGAAATGAAATCACTTGTAGTTTCAGTACGATAAGAGCTAAACTGACTACGTCTCAAGTTAGGCCGAGAGATCTCG